ACAGATTTTTTTAAAACAAATGTCAGTTTCTAAGCAGTGACTTACTATTTTTATTTTATTATTCAGTGCTTCTCAAAATTGTTTTTAAGGGAGCTGAGAGATGGCTCAGTAGAATAAGTGCTTCACTGGCAAGCGCAAGGGCCTGAGTTCAATCCCTGGTTCCACACCAAAAAAAAATTGTTTTTAAGACTGCCAAAATTTGTATTATTGCACAGATAGAATCTGGCTCTTTATCTTTTTTTTTTATAATCTGCATAAAATACTATATCTTCTAAAACAAAAACATCTTTCCAAACATTTTGTTTTTAAATTTAGCAGCTCTCATGAGTAGCTTTTATTCCTGCTTTGATCTTCCGTTTAGCTTTTGGAGGTTGTCCAGCTGAGTAATAGCATTAAAAAAGCAAATTTAGGCAGTGGAATGCACTGCCTCAGTCATGTGTAGATATTCACTTTGACCTCACTTGTTCATGTTATTTATATTACCCACAAAATATGATTTACCATCTTCCCATCCTTACTGTAGGATTTCAGGAATTTTTATACCTATAACCTCAACACTAGCAGTAGCAGAATCCTTTGACAGAAAGGTAGGATAGGCTATATAGTCTGAAAAAAGCATTCAAGCTAAGAAATTCCACCTTTGAAAAGAGTAAGAAAGATAAGCAGTTTATTATTTTGTTTGTGTTAAATTTATGTATTTAGTACAGGGTTTCACTATGCAGCTTGGACTTACAGTGATCCCTCCTGTTCTCAACCTCCCCGGCTCTGGGATTACAGGTGTGCACCACCACCACGCTCGGCCTAGTTTATTATTTTGTTATTGTTGCACATTATATTGAGTAGCTAGTGTGAGTAGATATCTTCATGTTGTATCAAAATCTTGAGTACTGATTTAAAATGTGGAACCCACAGCTGGTAGCCTTTGCCTTTAACACAAAGTGAGTGGGCATATGTAAACATACACACTGGCTGTGAAAGTGAAACTATATGTGACAGTTAAGTCTCAGTTCTTTCAGGGCACACTATGCCTTAGAGTAGAATTGCTATTCGACTTAAATTCAAGCTCTATTTCAATTTCTGGGTTTTGTTTTTGTTTTGAGACAGGATCTCGCTATGTAGTTCAGGTTGTCCTTGAACTCACTGTGTAAGCCAGGCTGGCCTTGAACTCACAGGAATCTTCATGCCTTAACCTCCCAACTGCTGGAATTGCAGTCATATACCATATATGTCCAGCCAATTCCTGTTATTAAGCAAGTGATAAAGAATGTCATGAACTGCGTTTTATGCCATCTTCATCTGATAATTACCAATAAGACAAAATTAATGTTCTTGGAGTGATGTGGGACATTTGGCCATAAAGAAAAAGCTATTATCTTCTGAAGAAAAGTAAATTCTTAAGTATGTGGAGTTATGTAGTTGCAGTCCATGAAATAAAGTAGAAACCGCTCAAAAATAAAAATCAGACATTAATTTCATCAAGAATTGTGACCCCCCCCCAGAGAAATCCAAAGGAGAAATTCTTACTTTGTGAGATTCACAGTAGAAATTTCCAAAGGAAATGTCATTGTGTTAATGTATGTTACCTCCACAATACTTAGCTCTACACACTGTACCCTTAGTTTAAGAAAATACAGTATATTTGGCTTTGCTTTTGTCAATTTCTCACTTGCTTATGTTCACAGACGTAAATCCAGAATGGTCTACACACCCTTTGATTGTTACAAGTCCAATTTAGAAAGCCTTGGAGTAATTTTCTTTCAACTCAGTTCCCCTCTGTGAAACATCTGTCATTTGTTTTTCTTCAAAGAAATCCACCTTTAGCAGTTATTTGAGCATGTACACAATAAGCATTATATTTAAAATCAAATTAAGGGGCCGGGGAGATGGCTCAGTGGAATAAGCGCTTTCTTGGCAAGCGCAAGGGTCTGAGTTCAATCCCCGGTTCCGCCAAAAATAAAAATTAAAAAAAAAAAAAAAAATCAAATTAAAAGATGACAATGTAACAGTAAGGCCTGGTGCTTCTCCCACCATTGACAAGTAATTTTTCCAAGCAGTATCATATTTTAGTTAAGCTTGGTAAGCTTCTGAGGTTCTAAAATAAATCAGAGTTTGGAGAGATTAGGTTTTTTGTTTTGTTTTGTTTCCCTGCCTAAGGTTTATTTGTACAGAAAACATAAGAGGACACCAGCCCCCACACAGTAGGCACCCCCAGGGATCACACCAGTCCTTCTGTCTTTTCATCAGCAGATAAGAGGCTTTTACTGTGGAGCCTTGACGGGGGCCTGGGCACCTTGGGAGCCTGGGCTGGAGCAAAATCTGGAGCCTGGGCCTTTGGCCAGCAAGGCCTGCAACCCTGGGCAGTGTGGGCACTGATACGCTTCCCAAACTTGGGGTGGGCAATATGGGCAAGTCGAACAATCCTGCGGTTGACTCCCTTTGAGATGATCTTGAGCTTGACATCCTTGGGCTTGATGAGGGCCTTGATAACCTCGGTGGGAGCACTCATGGCCTTGGCACTGTTTGTTTGTATCTTCTTGAGTCTCTTCTTGTTGTGCTTCTTGTCAAAAAAAAACATTTTCCTAAGGAACTTTGGATCTACCCCCTTTGGAGTTTTGTATCTTTGTGACTAAGGTTTCTTAATGCCATTTCTGCGCCATTTTTGGAACTGGTTGGCATTGGTGTGGTTCTTGGACTTGGCCATAACTGCACTGTAAACCACAGCTGCCAAGCTCCTGGAACCAGAAGAAAAGAAAGCCTGCCGAGATTGGGTTTTTGTGAGAGATCATAATTCATCGAAATAACTTCTCATATCTAAGAGTGAACTTTCCAGAAGTATAAGGTGTAATAGCATTTAGAGCATGATAAATATTAAAAATCCATTATTTTCAAGAAGGTGTATTTTAGATACTCATGCATAATAGAGCACAAGGATCAGTGTATAACCTAAAATCTTAGTCGCTTTGTCGATCAGGTTATAAAGTAGGAAGTCGATTGGGGATATGACTCACAGGTAGTTCAGTCCCCATCGCCAAAAAAAAAGAAAGAAATAGAAAGTTAGGGTTATTTTCTCCAAGACATTCTACTTTCTGTTTTGTGAGCAGGGCTGGACTGTCCTTAACAATAAATCTTGATTTTCACTCTGATTACCATTTGTTTGTGATGTTCAGGAAAATGTTTCGCCTGCCTTATGCATTACTTCACATCTGTAAAATAAAGAGTTGACCAGGTGATTTCCAAGTCGTCCCAAACTTGAAACACTGTCGCAGTCTACTAAAATAATAATTCTTTGCCAAGAATAACAAAAATTAAGAAATAAAACAGCAGGGAACTTTTAAAATTATAAAAACTAGCTTTAAAAAGTATTTTTAATTTGATTAAAGCCTATAAACATTACACCCTATTGTATGTTTGCGCTGACTTTTTAAAAATCTTATCTTTGAATTTTACTAAATCCCTTCCTGTTATTTGGGGTATTGTTTATATTTAAATTCTCTTCTATAGTGCACATACAATGCTTTGCCCATTGTTTTTTTTTTTATAAATTCATGAAAGATTTTGGAAACCTTTAGGACATAAAATTTCCATCCTATATAAGGTAATGTTAAGCATTCGTCTAAAATAAGTTCACAATCAAAGGAACCAGAGTAAAAATATCAAGCCTTACAATTTCTAAAACTGAAAGGAAATGTAATGATAATAATGCTGCATTTTATAGTTAAAGGAAAGGCTGAAACTAAGTGTCTATAAATGGTCATGAAGTAAGTAGTGAGTTAGTTCCTTATTTTCCTCACTATTTTGTTGTTGCCTGTGAATCAAATAGGAGAACCATCCTTAGGGGACATTATTTTGTTAGCAATGTTTAGATTGTAGAGACCTACAATTAAAAAAAGATTGGCAAGATCTGCCACCACATGGCAAGCCAGCCAAGCTTCTGGATCCTGAAATGCCTGTACTTATTACATAACAAGTATGTCACCTCAAACAGTCCTTAGCACAGCCTGGTACAGTGGCTGCCATGATCCCCATGATGAAGAGACTAAGACTCAGAAATGCTACGGCAGAGACACTCGGGAGCCAGGTCTGGTTTGGCTCCTCAGCTGTTGTATCACAGTGTGGTCTCTCAGACCAAGACACAGAGAGGGGAAGAGATTCTGAGACAATGTGTGCTGCAGGTGAAGTCATACCAGGAAACTCAAATTTGGTGTTTTCTGCTTTTGGCAGATTTGGGGAGCTCCATGATCATGTGCTTCTTGAACAAGCAGACTTCTTCCTGGGTGCCTACCATTTGAAAAGCACTGTTGGGAAAACAAAGAAGTGTAAGACATGGAAGGAACATAAAATAGTTTGCTATGCCACCCAAACATTTAAATGAATCACATTTTATAGATATTTTAATAAAAATAAAACATTAATTAGAAGACTTAGAAAAAAGGGTAATAAAGTAGACAAAAATTCCCAGTAGTTTCACCCTAAAGGAGTCAGCACATTCTGTCTCAGTGTGTTCCTGTTGGTGTGAGTCCTTATTCTCATAAGTCCTCTGAAAGATAATGTATGCACAGGAGGAAAACCACTGTATCTCTGAATACAGTGACCTCACACAGCTCCATGAGGCAGTTTGCTTTGCAGGATATCTGAAGGTCTGTACCTTTCAGGAACTTTTCAGTGCTGACAGTAAACAGCAGAGCTGTAATTGGAAGTCTGATAAGAGCCTGAGTTGGCTGGGCTGGGTAGGCCTGCTGACTAATAGTGATCAGCATTCCCTTGAGCCTGAATCATCCCCTCAGGATGGGCAGTGAAAACAGAAGTGGTGCTTCCACACCAGAACAGGCGGCACACGTGCCTCATGCACGGCACTCTTTTGCCTTCCTGTCTGGCCATTGTGCTCCATTTTTGAATGGTGGGGATCAAAATTGTCTCCTTGACATTTAAGCCAATTATAGGCTGATTTAAAATGGCAAAGCAAATGAATAGAACTAGATTTCTTTTTCTTGTTTTTGCAGGTGAATCAGTTCCGACAGCTGTATTCCAAAGTTATCAATGATAAGCATGATGATGTCATGGCCAAGTTTGGCGCTATTCTGGCCCAGGGCATACTAGATGCAGGTAATGGTTTTCAGTCTTGTGGTTTCTTTAATTAGTTAAACCAAATCCAATTGAATAGCTTGTAAATGTTCTAGCTATGTGACACAGTGGAAATTGAGTCTGAAGCAGCTTATTCCTAGAGAAAATTTGGAATCTTCAGTTTAGAGATACTGCAATTTAGGTAGCGTTATTAAGTGTATAGACTATTAGTTTTATTAGTTTACTTTTTTTTTTTTTTTTTAATCAGAGATCAAACTCAGGACATTGCACTTAACAGGCAGGTTCTTTTTTTTTTTTCCAGAACCAGGGATTCAACTCAGGCCCTTACGCTTGCCAGGGAAGCGCTTATTCCACTGAGCCATCTTCCCTGCCCCTACAGGCAGGTTCTTATACCACTAAGCTATCTCCCCAACCCATAGACTATTAGTTTAAATCCTAGTTCCTTTATATTAATAGATGCATAAGGCTGAGAAGTTATCCCCACCCCTTTCTGCTTTCTTATTCTACCTAATAAAGTTCAGGAGGATTAAAAATATACAGAAAGCTTGAATAAGGCATGTCACTTAGTAAAGTACTCATTGACTATTGGCTTTTTAAATTTTTAATATCTTAGCATATGGTTTTTTTGGGTGGGGGTGTTAATCTTTTTTATTTATTTGCTACAGGGTCTCACTGCACAGCTCAGACTCACAGTTATCCTCCTGTCTCAGCTTCCCCAGTACTGGGATTACAGGCATGTGCTACCATGTCCAATTTCAGGGCCAGCACAGCGTGCCCAGGGTTCCAAGGCCTGCACAACACCAGAACCAGGGGTCGAACTTGGGTCCTTACCAAGCAGGACTTAGACCACTGAGCTATCTCCCCAGCCCAGTAAATGTTTTAAATAAGTTGACATTGAATTTTTTGTTGTTTGGTGTTTTTTGTCTTTGAGAAGGTTTTTTGTTCAGTTGATTTTGTTTTTGTCTTTTTTGACATAGGGTCTCACTGTGTAGTTCGGGCTGGGCTTGAACTCACTTTGTAACTCAGACTGGCCTCAAACTCAAGGCAGTCCTCTCCTCTCAGCCCAGATACTGGGATTACAGGTGTGCAGCACTATGTCCAGAAAAGGAAAAAAAAAAAAAAAAAAATGAGGAAAAGATGTTACGCAAATTCTAATAGCTAAAATAAGATACACAGAATATGTATCTAATAAATACACATCATACTGTGCCTCTAACTTCAGAATTCACACTTTCCCACTTATACTATGACCTATTTTAAATATGGAGTGATTTTAAAAAATATTTTAGGCTTGATGTTAATTTAATATATATTTTTTCCTTATTATTGGTGATAGCCCAAAGAAGTAAAAGGAAAAAAACATAGACCTACTTCATTGTTCACGTGTGACATTTGTTTTATCCCAGCCATGTAGAATGTGACCCTTTTTAATAATTTTCTGCTAATTTGAAAGGTAAAGATAACATGTCCAGGTTCTGTGTCAATTCCGTTACTAGTTGTAGTTCTGCCATTTCTAGAATGTCATGCAGTTGGAATCATACACTGTGTCACCTTCCTAGGATGACTTATTTGATAAATGAGTATTTAAAACAGGATTTTAAGAGGAACATTTACTACATAGTCTTTTTTCCTTTAGTTGCCACTTTTAAAAGTTTGATTTTTTTTTTTTTTAGACATACCTTGTTTTTCTTGCTTATTCAGCCCTACAGTTTTTACTGTGAAGTTAAGAATTTGAAGAGAATTGTGTCTGAGTTGATTTTTATCATCTTTATTAGAAGTCATCTCTCCTTTCCCTCCTTCCTTTCTCTGTCAGTCTCTTTGCTTTCATGGGCCAGTTGAGTTCTGGTGCTTCTTTTTTTTTGTCTATTTATAATGGTTTTTGCATTGTATACTTAGTGCATAAAATTATTCTCATATTTTTTTTTCCCCTTCTTTAGAGCTGTGCAACAACTTCATTAGAGTCCTGGTCTCTGGCTTAGTAAAGCTGGGGGTAGAAAAACTCTGGAGAGGGCTGACCAGATAGCTCATTGGACTAAAGCTGCCTGCGTAGGCAGGCGCAGTGCCTCCAGGGTGCACTGAGATGGTGACTGAGACTGGGCGGTGCGCCTGTAATCCCAGCCCTTGGGAGGCTGAGAACAGGAAGATCACTGAATCTGATCTGTGTAGTTAGGCCCTGTAGACCCTGTACTAAAATTAAAAAAAAAAAAAAAAAAAACACGGAGAGAGCAGCTTCAAAAGGGAGAAGTTGAAGTTTATAAGAAGTTAAAGGGTTCACCCTGGGGAAAGGCAAAGATTAATAAGGAGGTTACTACTGAAGTCTGATGAACTTAATTACTGTCAAGAGGATAAACTCTTCCTTGTCCATTATTAAGTCTCACAACATGAGAACAGAAAGCTAGTTTAAGTCTGAAGAAGATGGATTTCATTAAATGAAAGAAAAATCAGCTTCAAATCTTAAAGCAAGCAGCATACTCTTCAACCTGCTGAGCCCCAACCCTGGGGAGGTACCATGCTGATCTGTGTGTTCCCACTAGCCCTGGCTCAGTTATCAGTACTTTTATGTCTTACTTTCATTATTTAAGTACCTGTCTTCTCTGCCAAACCAAAGATTCCTTGGGGTCTCTTCCAATATTTTGTTCCCATCTTTCAATAGATTGTAAGTGTTAAGTGAATGTCAGGAAGAGTGCAGGCAGACAAATGTATATAATTTTTTAAATGTATTTGGTTGTTACAGGGTCTCACTAACACAACTTGGACTCATAGTGATCCTGCTGTTTTTCAGCCTCCCCAGCGTTGGGATTAAAGGCGTGCACCACTACACCCAGACTCTAGCCTGCTCAGCCCACCATGGGGGCAGCATGTGGTGCCAAGGATCGAACTATCCCCATGCCTAAGCTTTCCTAAGCAGGCGCTTTAGTCTGCTGAGCTATCTCACCAGCCCCTAAATGTATATAATTATAGAAGAGTAAAATATACTGACCCTTTTTTCCAGATAAAAGTCCTAAATGAGGGCCAGGGAGATGGCTCAGTGGAATAAGTGCTTCCCTGGCAAGCACAAGGGCATGAGTTCAATCCCCAGTTCCACCAAAAAAAAAAAAACAAAAAGTCCTAAATGAGGGACCAGGAATACAGCTTAGTGGCTTAAGTGCCTGCCAGGCAAGTGCAAGATCCTAAGTTCAATCCCTGGTACAAAAAAAAAAAAAAAAAAAAAAATTAATGAGCTATTGTAGAATATTTTTTAAAACCTTAATCATTTTGAACAGTAGAGGGGCCAGGGAGATGGCTCAGTGGAATAAGCACTTCCCTGACAAGCACAGGGGCTTGAGTTCAATCCATGGTTCTGCCCAAAAAATAATAATAATAATTGAACAGTAGGGCTGGGAAGACAGCTCAGTAGAATAAGTGCTTGCCTGGCAAGTGCAAGGTCTTGAGTTCAATCCCTGGTACCACCAAAAAAAAAAAATGAGCAGTAGACTTTTTTTTTTTTTTAATTTTATTTATTTGTGTGTGTGTGTGTGTGTGTGTGTGTGGCCAGCTCAGCCACCAGGGGGCAGGGCTGGCAGGCATGTGGTGCTGGGGGATTGAACTGCGGTCCCTGTGCTTTGCTGAGCTTGTTCTAAGTAGGTGCTTTAGACCACTGAGCCATCTCACCAGCCCCTGAACAGTAGACTCTTGACCCTTAACGTGCTATTTAGTACTAAGATTCATAGGCCTGATGTGTAAGGAACTGGAATCCAGCATTAGAATCCAAGTGAGGATCCTGAGAGTCAGCACAGACAAGCTCCTTTTGTATAGCCTGTATCATGTAAACTAAAAGATTTGCTCCTCAAAGTTCCGTAACACAGGACTAACACTGTTGATTATAGACCACATGTAGCAACATAGCAACCCTTGGGCCATATCTGACAAGAAGGATGTTTGTTTGTTTGTTTGTTTGCAGCTTTTTATTTTCTATATTCTTTTTAAGAAGAATATTTTGATTTCACTTCCTAACAAAATGTGCAATATTTTGGGAAAAAAATATGGATTAGAACCTCTTGTTAAAACAAAATGACCTAGGGCTGGTGAGATGGCTCAGTGGTCTAAAGCACCTACTTAGAACAAGCTTCGCAAAGCACAGGGACCGTGGTTCAATCCCCCAGCACCACATGCCAGACAGCCCCGCCCCCTGGTGGGCTGAGCTGGCCACACACACACACACACACACACACATAAATAAATAAATTAAAAAAAAAAAAAATGACATAACAACCCTGAGCCTGTAGTGCTGGTAATGGAACCCCTTTAAATAGGACATGTGAAATTAATTAAAAAATAGATAGATAGATAGATAGATAGATAGATAGATAGATAGATAGATAGATAGGACATGTGTTTTCCGTGTTCATTTAGTCCCCACTACTGCCAGCCCTTTTTTTCTCCTTGGTTACCTGACCCAAAAGGCAAGTTCGCAGCCCAAGTGACCTCCGGGAATCACAGGACCTCGGAGCTTAAGGAAGCTCCAGCGTAGAGCTCTGGCTTGCTGGCTTTTGGTCTGCTTCTCTGGCCTCCCTAGAGGTCTGGGTACTGTGGTGAGTGATGGAACAGATCAGCCTCCAGAGCTGTGCATGCTCCCACAGGCCAGACTTCCAGTGAACTAAGGAGCTCTGATTTCATTGTTAAACGTAACTGTGTTTTCACAGAAAGCTTTTAGTTGAATCATATAATAGAAGTTAAAATTTTCCTTTTGTAGGGATAGTGCCCTAGTTCAAGTACTCAAGCTGAAGCCCTCTTTTGCCAATGGGAAAAACCCTTAGAAGTAAAGTAGTTGTCAGTGGTCACAAAGAGAGTTAAGGTCCAATGCCTAGCCATGTAGATGATTTCATAATTCCCACCATAATCCTCATGCTTGATTTTTCTGTAACTGGAATATAGGTCTTCATAATCATAATAGATATTTTTCAGATAATTTTTATGCTGCTTAACACCTAAAAGAACAAGAGTTTGAAAGTATATTTTTATAAATATGAATGTAAGTATGTATATTTCTGCACTGAAATATAACTAAAGCAATTTATACCCCTCTCTGCTATCCTTTGCAAATGTGATCAAAAGTTTACTTTTTATTAACATATTAAAAGCCAATATATAATGTAAATAGATTAGTATTTAATTTAGCATCACAGCTTTGATACTCTTGGGCTTAGTTTTTTTTATTTCTTTTTTTTTTTTAATTTTATTTATTTATTTATTTAGAGAGAGAGAGAGAGAGTGTGTGTGTGTGTGTGTGTGTGTGTGGCCAGCTCAGCCCACCAGGGGGCGGGACTGGCTGGCATGTGGTGCTGGGGGATTGAACCGCGGTCCCTGATGCTTTGCGAAGCTTGTTCTAAGTAGGTGCTTTAGACCACTGAGCCATCTCACCAGCCCCTTGGGCTTAGTTTTTAACAATATCTGCCTATAGAGAAAGAAGCTGTAGATTTCCCCTGGGTCCAGTTATAATACTTCCAGTTTGGGAGAGCATGAATAGCTCACTAATTCCAGGGATTCTGTTTTTGGTGATAGACTGCACATCAAAATAATTACAAGCTGGTTCCATAACACAGTACTTAGAAGAGCTTCTTATTGCCCTACTGAATTCCTGTTCATGGCTTTTCTCTTTATTCTACAGGTGGCCATAATGTTACAATCTCCTTACAGTCCAGAACCGGGCACACACATATGCCTTCTGTGGTTGGCGTCCTTGTCTTTACCCAGTTCTGGTTCTGGTTTCCTCTCTCACACTTTCTGTCATTGGCTTATACCCCTACCTGTGTCATCGGCCTGAACAAGGATTTAAAGGTATGTGTGTGAGGCCTCATCTTGGTACTATGTGCTGTTTGTATTCACCACCCACTCCCAAAGATTCCCATGAAACTTTCAAGACCAGTTAACAACTCCATAGCATGTTTTCCTTCCAGTTGAGTCATCCATCACCTCTGAGTGGAATGTGCCAGTGGAAGTTTTAAAAAATCAAGTCTCCTAACTAGCTATGTAACCTTGGGTAAATTGATAGAGGGAGATGGTTAAAAAAGGGACTTAATATAAAGATATGAAGAACTTTTATAGACTACTCTGAGTGATTTTTATTTAATTCTAAAGTTCGAGTTGGGTGTGGTAGCTCACACCTATGATTTCAGCACTGCATTGGCTAAGTGAGGGAGGTGAGGCTGGGTTGCATGGTGAGTTCCAGGCCAGCCTAAACTGTATGGTGAGACCCTGTCTCAAAAATCAAAAGAAGTTAATGTGAAGGGCTATGGAGACTCTTGAAGGATTTCAAGGTGATAAATGACATAAGGTCTGTATTTTATTTTTTAATCTTTTATTTATTTGTTTGTTTGTTTGGTACAGGGTCTCACTACACAGCTTAGACTCATAGTGATCCTCTTGTCTCAGCCTCCCAAGTGCTGGGATTACAGGCATGCACCACCATGCCCAGTTTTGGTGGCCAGCTCAGCATGTGGGTACCAGGGATCGAACCTAGGTCCTTGCCAGGCAGGTACTTAGACCACCAAGCTATCTCCCCGCCCTGAGATAAACTAAGTCTTTAATAATTAATAAGGAATGGCGCTGCACATGATTGCATACCCCCAGAGTCCCAACAGTCAGAAGACCGAGGCAGAAAGATCCCCATGAGTTGATGAGGCTGTCCTGGGCTATATCCTGAGTTCAAGGCCAGCCTAAACTGAGATCCTGTTTTTAAAAATGATAATAACAATAAGGAATAAAATTTAGAGGCAGTACACATTTCAGAGTTAAGTGATACTGGAATAATTGATAAAAGAATGAATTATACTTCAGGAAAAAGCAAAGTAGGAGAACGTCTTTCTGGTAGTGGCAAAAAACAAGATTTATTGTGAGAAACTTGAGGACTCTGATAAAATGAAAGTTATCACTTAGGCCAAAGACCATAGGCAGTCTGCCCTGTCACCACTGAGCAGGGTCCACTGGGATGTGACAACAGAGCCTCCATGCTGAGCTACATCCCCAGCACTCTTTAATAGTTTTGAGACAGGACCTTGCTAAGTTGCTAGGAGTGGGCTTAAACTTCTGATCTTCTTGCTGCCCAGCCCAAAGTGCTGGGATCATAGGGATATGCTGCCATTCCTGGCTTGCTATTGAGGGGAGTGTGGTGGGTACCAGGAATTGAACTCAGGACCTTGCACTTGCCTGACAGGCAGTTATTCCACTGAGTTATATCCCTGGCGTATGTGTTCTTAAATTGTCTTAATGTGACTGATGTTTAGGTTTTTCTAAATCCTGTGACATAATGATTCATTTTCTTGTTCTTCTGTTTAAAAGTCAAAGACCTTTTAAAAGGCCTTTAAATAACTCTTCTATCTGGTCATCGCTGTTGTTAAAATGTTCTGTTAAGTTTTCAGAGTGGAAAAATTTTAGGCTAACAAGATAGCTGATTGAATATTTCGTCATAATGACTTTTTCACTGTAGCCCTTTGGAAGCCAAGTTGTCCTTGGTTAAGTTGTTCAGTATTAGAACTTTACATTTGTAAACATTTAGCATTTTTATTTCTCAAAACAAGAATATTTTGGTTTCCTGCTGCTAACTTTTAACAATGTAATTGAACATCCTGTGTAATCTTTGGAGTCTTTTTTCAGTTGTATATTCTCTGTTTTCATTCTTCACAATGAAAATGAGGTGAAGAAGATGGGGTTCTTTCCCCTAGAAGTTTGGTACATAGCACTCTCCATCAATGCAAATTAGGAAAATAGAGAAAATGTAGGCCGGAGAACTTTCCCTTTTCTCAGTAAATAATGTAAAGCCAACTTCTGCATTAGGCTCATGTGAGGCTTTTCTCTAGAGTGATTATATGATGTGAAAACTGTGTATAGACTGCTAAGTGTGCGTACAGGGTGGTACAAGGAAGGAACAGGAAGTGTGCTGGGGGGAATGGATCGTGAGGCGTTCTGCAAAGGAGGGGCAGTGAGGGGAGTATAACCCACCACAGCAGTGTGAGTTGTCAGGAGGATGAGATAAAGGATGCCTGTTCAAAGGCACAGAGCTTCAGAATATTCAGGGCACTGCAGTTAATTCTTTAAAGTGCCTGAAACTAATTTAATAAAAAAAAAAAAAACAGACACCCTTCAGAGGAGTGATTATCACTGAATAGTTCTGTAACCAAATGCTTAACTGCCATGGACTTCAGGGGGGTTGGGTATATATGCTGGTTAGAAGCATAGAAGTCTTAAATCTCAATATTGAATACTTTATTTGGGGAGGCAAAAAAAAAAAAAAAAAATTTCTTTCTTCAGATGCCGAAGGTGCAGTATAAATCAAACTGTAAACCATCCACATTTGCGTATCCTGCACCTCTGGAAGTACCAAAAGAAAAAGAAAAGGAAAAGGTAGGTCCTTTGTTCCAGTGAACAGCATTTGTTCTTATATAGAGGGCTCCTGGATGTTTTAGTTGGGTTTGTTTTTTAGTAGGTTTTGTAGTTTAAAAGTATGACCTGCCAAAATGTTTTAATTGTCACCTAAGGTGAATGATATCATCTATATGGCCTTGCTACTATTGGATCAATATTAGCCTAGCAGTTATACTTGACACACATTGTACTCATCTTGTGGTTTTGCACTATAAAACTTCTTCAGAGAAGTCAGCTCACTGGCGACCCATTCAGGACCCCTCCTGTCTAGCAGGAACTATCCCTGTTCCCCAGTAAATTTTCCTACTCTTTAAAAAAAGTATTACCAGTCAGATGTAATCACACAAGCCAGCATGGTGGTGCATGTCTGTAATCCCAGCACTTGGGGAGGGGGTGGGGGCTGAGGCAAGAGGATTGTTGCAAGTTCGAGACCAACCTGAGCTGCATAGGGAAACTCTATCTCAAAAAAACTAGAAGAAAAGAAAAGAAAAATCTTAACACCACACAAGAACATAAGGTTAGAGGCTTTTATTCTCTTGGTCATCCAGTTTCCATGTCATAAGAATTACAACTTGTGAATCCCCTATGTTTTCTCAGTATGTGGAGCCAGTCTCTACATGCTGTTCTACATCTTACTGTTCCACTCTTAACATACATCTTTAGCACTTTGAATTTATATGAGTTTCCTTTTTTCCCCAATCTGCATTTTTTTTTGCCAGTTCTTTTTTTGATGTACATGTAACGTTTATTTCCAATTTGTCACTGCTGTAGGCTAGAATGAAAGCCCCTATATACATATGCTTGTGCACTGGTGCAAGTATATCTGTAGCGAGAAGCATAGCTGTGGAGGTGCTTGACCAAAAGTAATCCACAGTATTTCTTTTCATAGGTATTAAGTAATTTGCCTTTCAAATTGGCTATCAGCCGTTTACATTCCTGCCATGTACAATGCCACTCACCGATAGTGTTGAAGGATAATGCATTTAGAGAGCTACACTTACCCATGAAGTTTTTATTTTATTTTTTTTTATTTATTTGTGTGTGTGTGTGGCCAGCTCAGCCCACCAGGGGGCGAGGCTGGCTGGCATGTGGTGCTGGGGGATTGAACCGTGGTCCCTGTGCTTTGTTAAGCTTGTTCTAAGTAGGTGCCTTAGACCACTGAGCCATCTCACCAGCCCCACCCATGAAGTTTTACTCAGCAAAATTATCCTTCATGACACCTTATATATGCAAAGAATTCCTTCTTTTAGAATAATGCTTCATATTTACCAGTTGGTCATTGCTACAAATTTTATATGTAAATAGGGGTAATTGTATAATTGACAAAGTTGAGGGTAGCAGGTAATGAATATCCTCTGACACTAGCAACTTGTTTGATCAGCTCTTGAAAGAACCACCTTTTGGCTCTGAAGCACAGCCAGCTTTCTATACCAATATTGCCCAGTTTTCTAGAGTCCCTGTTTCACGTTTGATTTCAGTGAAATCCCATCAAAAAAGATCATTCCAGGCAAACTACTGTGTATTACAGTTACTGGTCATCTGGTCATGAGAACACCTCTCAGACCAGAATTGGAGGAAAATTTTTAGGCTTTCCAGGCTTTCTCTGTAAAGCAAGAAAGGATATAATTTCTAGATCTTGTTTTAGACATACATGTTAGCAAATTCACTCCTAAGGTGAATTATATTTGGATGGGGGCGGGGGTTCCCGGGCTGGTCCCAAACTTGCAACAATCCTCTTGCCTCAGTTCCCGCCCCCAAGTGCTGGGATTATAGATATGCACCACCACGCTGGCTTGTGCTATTAATCTGACTTTTTATAAAGAGTAGGAAAATTTATCGGGGAATCAGAGATCAAACTCAGGACCTTGTGCTTACCAGGCAAGTGCTCATGCCACTGAGCTATATCCCCAGCCTCTGGGATAAATTATAAATGAGAAACAGGTACTTAAATTGGAGAAAGCCTCCAAGCACTACAGAGCCTCCTTAATGACAGTGAATTATGTAAATAAATGTCCTCCTGGCTTTTCTCACTTTGTGATTATTGTTTTGTTTTTTTAAATACTGCCAGAAAACAAATTATTATTGGACTGAGTCTTCCTTATGTTGTTTATGTGTAGGTAAGAAATTACAACAAATTTACCCTGTTCTATTTCTCTAGGTTTCTACTGCTGTGTTGTCTATTACTGCCAAAGCCAAAAAGAAGGAAAAAGAAAAAGAAAAAAAGGAGGAAGAGAAAATGGAAGTGGTAGGTATAACTTGGTGGTCATATAGGTTGATGAATGTCTTCTCTATGGTTCAGATTCTTCCTTAGCTAAACATTACTGGAGGCCAGCCTGATAACTCAGCATACTAAAGCGCCTGCTTAGACAGAGCGCAGTGGCCAGAGTTTGATCCCCGGGGCACACTGAGACAGCAATTGAGACTGGGCGTGGTAGCACGTGCCTGTAATCTCAGCACTTGGGAGGCTGAAAACAGGAGAATCAATATGAGTCAGATCTACTTAGTGAGACCTTACAGACCCTTTCCTAAATACGGGGGGGGGGGGGATTATTACTGTACTTTGCTCTTGGCTTCTTTCAAATAATCCTGTTCCAAGCATATAGAATCATAATTTTACCTGAAAGAAACTCTAGAAACCATATTCATGTATCACAGAATAGAATAATACAAATCAGGAAACAATAGAAAACCTTCATGGTAGAAATCCTTCAAAACCAAGTCAAAGGAACAGGGAGATGATTCAGCAGCATAAGCAGCTGCCTGGCAAGAACAAGATCCTGAGTCTGATCCCTGTTATACCAAAAAAAAAAAAAAAAGGCACCAAGTCAAATACAATTATCACCCCTGAGCAGAGGGGTGAGTCTCCCTCCTGTGAGTCTGGCATCCCTTTAGCTGTCCTTCTGTTATACCTGATAATGATTCAGTAAACTTATTCACAAATGTGGGATGGAAGTGAACCTGTATTGAACCGGTTTTTTTCTCCCTAGGACGAAGCAGAGAAAAAAGAAGAAAAAGAGAAGAAAAAGGAACCTGAGCCAAATTTCCAGCTGTTGGATAACCCAGCCCGAGTTATGCCTGCCCAGCTGAAGGTCCTTACCATGACAGAGACCTGTAGATACCAACCTTTCAAGCCAGTAAGTCTCCAACAGTGCTTAGCTGTGGCAAAGGGACATTAATCTGTAGGGCAGCCTAACGTTGATAGAGAAGAGTAAATGGCCAGAGCATTGGAGTCCACTCACTATTGCTAGAACCTCGTTTTAGCAAAAGAGACAATTTTCCCCAGTATTCTATGTAGACTTTGAAGAGCTTTTCTTTTTTCTGGGTAGCTGCCAACTGTCTGCCATGCAGCATGATTAGAAATGTAGACAAGAGCCAGTTGTACTTGCTTGAGTCTTGATTCTGCCATTCAGGCTGTGTGACTTGGGCCAGGTTCTAAACTTACTGTTGCCTCCATTGTTCTGAATGTAAAATAGGGATTATCATGTCTAATTCAGAGATGTGGCACAGATGGAACACACTGCTGTGCAAGCCTAAGAATGAGACCCAGCACTGCTCAATAAATGAGTGTCATTATTTACTCTGCCTGTCACAAGTTAAGAGATTTCAGAGTTAGAAAGAGATCTTCCTAACAGTTAATTTATCCCAACATAGGAGGATGTTTCATGTTAGAAATAGATGCTAACCACTGCCTTTATCATTTATATGTTTATATATAGAAAGAGCACTTTCTAGGTTTTTGTACAACAATAAATTTATTGTCATCCCGGTGGCAGCCTGAAGGCAACTCTTACCTTGGGTTTTAAGCTAAGGTCTTACATGACTAGATTATCAGCAAGAGAGGCAAGGGTAGGAAATGGAAAATGGTAGATCTAATAGTGTAGCACTAGAATTGGACATAACTAAGTTTATATTTCAGCCCTTTCATTTCTTAGCAGTGTGATGAGACAAGTCATTTAGTTTGTGTTTCAGTTTCCTCACCTATAAAATTGGTGTGGGAATATTCTCCACTTTTCAGGGATACTGCAGAGATTAAATAGTGTTGCATATGAAGCACCTGACACACTGAGAAGCTGACCCGTGGCTCACCTACTCTACAGTAATAAATGAACTGACAGAACCACAATAGGATGCTCATTCATTGTCTCGTCTAAGCCTAGTCACCTTAGTGGCCTATGTATAGGAATATGTTCCTGCAGCATCTGGGTACACCTCTGCCAGCTGGCATGGACTGTGTCCAGAAGAGAGGTGTTAGGACACAACAGTGTGAAGCACAGGAATAACCAATGTTTTTGATATTTATCAAGAACCAAAGACAAGAACAAAGAAAGAACGAAAGATAGCAAGGCATATACTCAAGGCTATAAGGCCAAAGTATACCACTGGTTGGAAATTAAATGATTGTTAAGTTTTTACTCAAATTAGATCAAAAATGGCACTAGAAGCTACTGCCTGGCTGTGTAACCCACTACACAAAGCAAAGAGGAGGCAGGGGCTTTGTGTCCCCAGAAATCCCTATCCAGTTATTAATTGACTACTAAGCTAAGCAGAGACGTTAGTGGCCACATACAGTAGAAACAGCCTTTACAGAAGTAGCTCAGAAAGATCAGAAAATAAATAACAGCAAAGCTTGGGGTGGAGGGGAAATCTATTTTCCAGAGTCTCTTCATGATAATATTTATTTATTTATTTATTGGCAGAACTGGGGATTGAACTCAGGCCCTTGCGCTTGCCAGGGAAGCGCTTATTCCACTGAGCCATCCCAGCCCCTCTTCATGATAATATTTAAAATGTACAGTTTTTAACAAAAATTTATAAGACATACAGAGAAAAAATATGACCCAATAATTAGGAATTCTGTAATGTAATAACTACACTGAAAAAATCGATAGAGGGGCTCAATAGCAGGATTGAGCATGTAGGAGAAGGAATGTGCAGATTCAAAGACAGGTCAGTGAGATTATCCACTCTGGGGAGTGACTGAACTGCAGAAAGCCTCAGAGACAAGTGGAACACTGAGGTGCTGCAGCACATGCATAAGTGGGAGTCCAGAAGAAGACAGATGGGACAGAATAGTGTTTGAGAATTAGTAGCTGTAAACTTCCCAACTTTGATGAAAAGCCAATTTCTACATCTAAGCAGCTGAATCAATTTGATATAGGATAAATTCAAAGGAATCCAGATCTCCATACATTATAGTCAAAGTATTGGAAGTGAATTTTGTAAGATCAGAATATGGTATTTTAGGGACCGGGGAGATGGCTCAGTAGAATAAGCTCTTGCCTGGCAAGCACAAGGACCTGAATTCAATCCCTGGTTCCACAAACAAAAAAAAAAAAAAAAAAAGAATATGGTATTTTAATCAAAATTATAATGACCCAATGACCATGGGATAAAACACAGTACTCAGAGAAACTGACTCTGACTTGGTGAGGAATTTTGTAACAAGAAAACTGTTCAAAAATTAAGGAGAAATTAAGATATCCCCAGATAAACAAAAACAGAATTTGTTAACAAACCTGCCTTATATGGATTAATAAAGAAAACCCTTTGGGGTTTTTTGGGGGGCTGGCTAATTAGCTCAGCAGATGAAAGCACCTGCAAGCAGGTACAGGGAACAGAGTTCAATCCCCAGGCCTGCTGTGCCAGCCCCGCCCCGGGGGCGCACTGAGAGGGCAATTGAGACTGGGAATGGTGGTGCGTGCCTATAATCTCAGCACTTGGGAGGCTGATAACAGGAGGATCACTACAAGTCCGATCTAGTAGTGAGACTCTGAATACCCTATAGATCCTTCCACAAAATATAGGAAAAAAAAAAAAAAGAAGAAGAAAAGACCTTTTGGTCGGAAAGTAAAGTCACTTACACAGAACAATTATTAGAGATAAGTCAGTGCTGATGTGAAAAGTATACAAAGGTATAATTTGCATTATAAAAAGAACATAGAAAAGTTCAGGAACACCCTTTCCAGGTGCAAAGTTATGACGTGCTATTGAAATGGCATTGATTATTAGTCAAAGTAGATGTGTAAGATATTAATTGTAGGGCTGGTGAGATGGCTCAGTGGTCTAAAGCACCTACTTAGAATAAGCTTAGCAAAGCAAAGGGACCGCGGTTCAATCCCCCAGCACCACATGCCAGCCAGCCCCACCCCCTGGTGAGCTGAGCTGGCCACACACACACACACACACACACACACACACATAAATAAAAATTTTTTTTAAAAAAGATATTAATTGTAATCTTACAACTATCTGAAGGAACTAACTCAACATACAGTAAAAGGAACAAGGTAAGTAAAATACTAGGAAATACGTAGATAATGTTGGAGAAGTCAACAGTGGCAGTAGAAGAGAGAGACAAAGGAATATCAGACATGCAAAACAGTAGGCACCAATCATACTTTGTTGGTGACCTTGTGAGTTACACATGCCAATTAAAAAGCAGAAGTACAGGGCTGGGGAGATGGCTCAGTAGAATAAGCACTTCCCTGGCAAGTGCAAGGACCTGAGTTCAATCCCTGGTTCCACAAAAAAAATCAAGACCATTCAAGTTATGTTGGAAAGTAGCAGTCAGTAACAGGAAATTGTGGGATTCACAAATACATAGAGGTGATGATGTAATACCTTTTAAGTAGCTAGTGTATTAAAGAGGAAATACATGGAAAGTCAGAAACTACCAGTTCATTGTCTTAAAGAGGCAGAAAAGATTTTTAGAAAAAAAATTTCAATAAAATTACAAAGAAATGGAGAAGCAGTAATATTTTTTAAAATGCTTGGAAGCAAAAAAGAAAACAACAGTATACCAAAATTTACCAGACTCAACAAAAGCAGTGAATAGAGGGATGTATTTAGCTACAAGTACCTGTATTAAAAGAGGAGACCAAAAATAATAAGATAATATAAATAAAAAGATTTTCCTGTTAGTCAGAAGTCTGAGATAGGAGAATCAGTTGAGACCAGGAATCAAAAGACCAGTCTGAGTAACATAATACGACCTTGTCTGGAAAAAAAGTTTTTTAAAAAAAGAAACCCAATTAATAATCTTCAATCTTAATAAACTGGAAAGAAAGGAATACAGAATAAACCAAATCAGGCAGAAGGAAATGTCTAAATATTAGTGCAGAGATTAACGAAACAGAACATTACAAAACCAAAAGTTTGTTGTTGTTGTTGTTGTTGTTGTTTTTATAAGAATCAAGACAGAAAGAGGGTATACTATACCAAACCTTAAAAACTAAAGTGACGATCTTAGTTCTCTTTCCCATCTTGCAAGATGGCGGGTGAAAAAACTGAGAAGCCAAACTCTAAAGAGAAGAAACCCGAAGCCCAGAAGGCTTCGGCCAGTGGCACTGGTAAAAAGGGTAAGGTGAAGAAGGCAAAAAAGTCCAAGAAG